GTGTGTGTGTGTGTGTGTGTGTGTGTGTGTGTGTGTGTGTGTGTGAGGGCAGAGGATGTTGTTGTTTTGCAAGTACTGGTTGTTGTTGTTTTGCTGAAGCTCGAATTCCCTTAAGCCGCTCAGTGTTTACTTCTTGTTTTTGTTTTTCAGCTTCTACTTTTAGCTGAACTGACAGGAGAGTCAGTCGTGTTCGGGAAACTGATGAGTAAAAATGAAAATAATAAACAGGACTCTTATCATATAATATTTAAATTATTAATTAATTTATTTGAAGCTTCATACGACCGCAGCTACAACTGTTTGACCGATTATTACGCTATCAAAGATAGTTGTTTTTATTGGTTGATAATTGTCAAAGTTTTGCTATTTTGTTCATTTTTTAAAATGAAAGTCAATGCATTCAAATTTATGTTTCACTGTGAAACATGAAATAATCATCATGTTGTGAGCGGGTGAAACATGATTATTTTAGAAGCCTTTACATCATATTTAGGGTAAAGACCATATTATTGCAAGAAACCCGGCAATTTTCTGTTGAGTGAGTGTGGCAATGATGAGAGAAAACTTCTGCTTAACATTAAATAACATGTGACATAGTCAGTGTTGTGGTGGATGGGGTTTTGTTTTTTAGTGCTGTAAATTAAATGCTTGTAATTAGTGTATTGTTGTTGTTCTGATTGACATGTTGTTTTATTGATAAGAATGCTTTGGCCTCTAATCCACCTCACTAAACGGTCTAGTGAGCAGGGAAGCATTTTTGTACATGTGTTTAAAATTCCCCCAATAATCTGTTATTATGTGAGATCTCCTTTGGACTTGTTTATTTTAGTTTTAGTTGAACTTTGGATTTAATTATTTTGGAACAGAGTTGCACCTCTGTCCATTTAAAAATCCAGCCTGCTGTCCTGGAATCTTGTTTGTGGAATCAGAAACAGAAATGTTACAATATTCTTCAGTCATAACCTCATTTAAGAAATGCACTGTTGTGTTTACATGTACTGGTAGGCTACATAGACATGCATACATGCAATATAAGTAAAATTGAGTTATAAAGGGCTAGTTCTGCCAGTTGGTGGAAAAGATATAAACAGTTCGTAGCTTACCTGTTGTAGAAAGTTATTTAAACAGAGACAGTATGAAGGACTGAAGATTAAAGCTGGTTTTATTATTCAGTGAGAAGGAAAGAAAATGTCAGTCTAGCTTACATAGCTGTGAGATATTCTTTTCAGTGTGGACATTTTTAAACTGAAGCCCAGAGCTCTCCCTGTCCCCGGGGTCTTCACTCTGTGCTCTGTACAGATATTTATTTTCTAACAATCTCAGCCACCTGTTCCTCGGAGAAACKGTCAAAGCAAAAAAGACACCATTGCTCTTCACTTGCTTTTCCACATAAACACGCCCACAACAAAGTTCCGACCAATCGTACGATAACTGATGCACACCCCTGAAAGGAAAGGTTCTGCCCAGACTTCATGTCAAGAATGGGCCCTCTGAGATCCTCACCACAAACACTGCTTTTAAACCTTTAGCACTTTAAATTTTGCATTTGCAGTTTTGCAAGTGCAGATAGCGGCGGCTAGCTGTAGCACTTCCAGTGTAGATTAGGGTCATGCTGGATTTTCATGTAATTTCTGTCATTATGTCTGTCGTTGGGGCAGCTGTGGCAGAGTGGTTAGGGGAGTCGTCCTGCAACCGGAGGCTGCCGGTTGAACCCCTGTTCCATCCGTCTCGGTTGCTGTGTCCTTGGGCAAGACACTCCACTCGCCTTGCCTACTGGTGGTGCTCAGAGGGTCCGGTGGCACCGGTGAAGCTTTTGTCAGCAGGCCTCACGGCAGCTGTGGCTACAATGTAGCTTACCACCACCAAGCATCTTTGAGTGTCCTAAAAAGCGCTATATAAGTTTAAAGTGTTTTGTTGATGTTGTTATTGTTATTATTGTTGTTGTTGTTGTTGTTGTTGTTGTTGTTGTTGTTGTTGTTGTTGTTATTATTAGCTCGACAATATGGTCTGAGCAGACCCACTTCCAAAGCTGATTTTGGCATCTTTGAGCAACTCCAGTCTTCCAAATTCTGAAAGGTTTATGCGATTGTTATTTCATAGGCATTTGGTCACTTTAGTTCAGGGGTGGCCAAACATTTTCCTGGAGAGGGCCAAAATGAAAATCTATCTGGGGCTGTGGCCAAATGCAGAAATATAATACATGAAATACAAATACTTTTTAAGCAATGTCCTTTTATTTTTAATGATTAAGCTAGCAGCCAGTGYGATGGCCCGCTTTTGTTTTTATTTGTGCACTTGAACAAAAGCTCATATGGGATATTTAATAAAATGATGAAATATGAGTTATTGTGGCCCTATAAAGTGTGCAACTCTACATGTGTGGTTAAATCTAATCTACATCTTGTTGTTAATTGTATTTCATGTTTCCTGTTTAATCTTAATAAATCAAAGATAAAGGCAGCACCATGGTTGGACTATCTGCAGTACAGCCCCTTTTATAGTCATTGGGCCAATGGATGAGAGGACTAAGTGGAAATATTATTTCTACATAGAACAACAGGTTAGTAATTACGTCAACTGCTGGTAGGCCAAATCTGGCCCTTGGGCCCCACTTTGGGCTCCTCTGGTTTAGTTTTACAGTTATTTTGACCCCAAGTAGACATGCAGTACTTTCTTTTGCCACTGTCTGCAAATAACTGCAGAATCTCATGTTATGGGAAATTTGCAACAACGTGATGGATTATAAAATAGTGTTCACTGGCACCACTAACAAATATTGGAGAGTCGAGCTCTTTTAAGGTATCAGCAGTAATCCACTGCGACTTTAGCTATTTTCAAACCGACTGTGAGCTAATCTGTTCTGTCAAACTTTTTTTTGTCCAAACAGATTATTCTAAAAACCCTTACTCTTCTTTGTAATGGCTGAACTATTCCTTTAAGACAGAAATATCCACACCCAGAACAAACAATGTTCCCTGTGTTTTAGTTGCTCATTAAAAGATACATAAAAGGTTTTGGGCACAGTTACAAAGCCCTCTTTTGCTCAGGTCTCTCCCATCTCACCTGCTGAATTTTGTAACTTCTCCAGAGTGGTCACAGGTGTTTTGGTGGTCTCTCACTGTCCTTGATTGAGGGTTACATGTCCCATAATCCTTCCATGTGTTGGCGATGGGTTTAACAGAACCCTTGGGGATGTTTAGGGTCTTTGAAATCCTGTTTTATCCTTCCCCTGACTTATTTTCAATATTCTTTTCTCTGAGTCGAATTAGGCCAGTCAGTTTTAAAGAATGAATCTTGATGCAGTCACTTATTTGACACTATATATTTTTATTTAATTGCTGTCACTTTGGGAAAATTGGATTCCACTTTGACATCAAAGGATTGTGTTTTTGTTGTAAAAAAAATTACAATTTATGTTGGCCACATGCTGTAGCATTAAAACTAAAACATCCAAGAGGGTTAATACTTTTTAGAGGCACTGTATTTGTATGCAAACAAAGACTGTAGTTCTTTCCCTGGAAGAGTACAACAGTTCTCTACAGCAGTGTTTCCCAAAGTTGGGGTTGGGACCAAAAGTGGGGTCCTGAAACATCAAGATGGGGTCCTGACAAGATTTTCTGAATTAATTACGTTTTTGCCTTAGTTGTTACAAAGGAGTGAAGTTAGTGTATTTAAAATGGATAAATGTAGTGTAAAAATATTGTTACAATGCCTGTGTTTAGTTGACCTGATACAAATGTTTATCATCCAAAAATAGCTGGGGGCTCAGGTCTCTGCTACTTTATTTTGTGGGTCAAAAGCTGAAAAGTTTGGGAACCACTGCACTTTGGTTCCCAAAGTTGGGCTTTGGACCCAATTATGGGTCATGAAGCACCTTGGATAATCTCCAGAAAACAATTTAAAGGGTAATAAAATAATTGCTGATGTAATATTTTCCCTATAACTATTACAAAAACACAAAATAACTATAAATAAGTATTTATATTTGTGTACAAACTGTTTAGATTGTCAAAAAGCCTGTGTTTTTAGGGTTATTAACAGAGTTTGTGTACTCAGACCAGTAATATTTGGGGTCACAAGTTTTTGCCATGGATAGTTTGTGGGTCAGRAGATAAAAAGTTAGGGAACCACTGCTCTACAGCACTCTCTGTTACTTACATTTCCCTTTTCCTTTTCTCCAGTTTATTCAAGGATAGTTAATGTAGGGAATGATCAGTCTTATAAGCACAATGTCGTTGTGTCGTTGAAGGAGTCGTGTGTTGAACTGACCAGGTTTATCAAAATGCTGAAGCTGAAACACAGCTGGGTGGTCTGTACATTGAGCTGGAGAAGTGATTTACTTTCTCCATGCAAATCTGAGCTGCTCAGATGGGTTTGAAACATTGTAATAAAGTTGTGTTTTTTTACAAGACTTCAGAAATATATACATCTATGCTACAAAAGTGATATTTGTCATAAAATATCCTGAATAAAAGTCCCTCTTCCAACTGTCTCATCACAAACCTCTACAAAGTTGTTTTTTTCTTTCCTGGTATAATTTTTCACCGTCCTATGTTCCTGTCTGCGCTGAAGGTTCCAGTCTCGTTGCCTGTGATGACTCCACCAGCAGAGGCTCCTCAGCAGATGCAGCAGACCCAGCAACAGCAGGTCCTCAGTCCCCAGCAGATCCAAGCGCTGCTCCAGCAGCAGAAGGCACTCATGTTACACCAGGTAAAGCACGTCCAGGGTTTTTATGTAGTTTTCCTTAATGTCTCGTTGATTAAAAGGCCTTTTGTTTGCTTAATTGCCATGTTATTAATGTGTCTGCAGCAACAGATTCAAGAGGTCTTTAAGAATCAGCAGGAACAGATAAACATGCAGCTGCTGCAGCAGAAGAATGCTGGGATGGTTAGTCAAGAGGTAACTTTCGTTTTATTGTTTTTATCCGAGTACAAATACAAATCATCTCGTTTGCGTTACGAGATATATTAAGATGTGGTTCGTGTAAAATTTCACCCGAACCTTTCGATCGTTCAAAAAGCTCTATTTTGTTTTTGATCTCATTTGTTAACCGTACGTAGCTTACCAGGTTTTCTCCTCTCGCAGCTGACAGCCCAGCAGATTGCCATTCAGCAGCAGCTCCTTCAGGTGCAGCAGCAACATCTCCTCAACCTGCAGAGGCAAGGCCTGCTGTCTGTGCTTTCCACCTGCCCCACCGTCTCCCCAGGTATGCTGTGAGGTTTATGTTCTTACTGGAATATTTCACGTCTTTCTTTCTAAGTAGAAAATACAGCCATGAGAAACGGGAACGTTCACCCTGTTTCAGGTTTTTTTTTTTGGTTTAACTTGCCCAGACTAAAAAATAAGGATTTTTATTTTTAGCAAGCTCTAGGCAGCGGTAGCTCAGCGATCGGTTTCACTGTCTCGTGATCTCGAGGGTGCAGGTTCAAGTCCAGGTTGCAGGGCATCCACTGTAATACACTTGCCGATTGTTTCAGGCGAGTTTGCCCGCTGTGGTGACCCCCGCTGAAGGGAGCAATCTAAAAAAGAAACGGGTCTTTACCAGACATCGAAAATTATTTAAATCTAACCTCAAGTGGGCAAAAAATGCACAACAAATTCCACCACATCGTTACTTATTCAACAAAAAAACAAAGTCACAGTGGAAAAGCTGTGTCTGGAAAGAGTAAGTCCACCCTCGCTGCTTCCATAAAAATTTAAGAGGCAAAACTGTTTACCAACTTGTGAGGCACAACACGCACCACAAACTCTGATGGTTGACTGAGCTCCACAATCGATGAAAATGGAAAAGCCTGATCATGACAAGAAAGCAGTAAAATGTTCAGCTCGGTGTTTATTGTACTGTGGTTTAATCCTCTGGCACAAATAACAAAATAGCAGCAACCTGTGGAACAAATGTGGAAAAAAGTGATTTGCGTTTTTACAGCAGAAAAGCATCTCTAGGTTTGAGCAGTACAGCAGTCCCATTACTTTACTGTACCAGGATGGATGGATGCTTTATGTATTCATTTCACAGGACAAGAATAAACACATACTATATAATATGGTGTGTCAGGGTTTCCCCCAGAAAACTGGCTAATAAGCTCGGCAGCCCACTATGTTTTTTGTTAAAACTGTTAAAAGTTGATAGGACATTTGAAAATATGATATAATGTAATTATGTGTTTTTGTAAGACCTTGTTTACAGCACTTAAACATCAAACATAGATGGGGTCACCAACTACTAAAAAAATCAATTAAATAAAAAATTCCAATCACTGAAAATAATTAGTTTTTTGCTATCAATTAAATGGTTAAAAGATTAAATGGTTAATATTGGTGGGGATGGGGTTAGGTGTGTGTGCGTGGGTGGGTGGGGGCGGGGACAAAGAGGAGACTGAGCCTCTTTTTGACATTTTTGTATGTTTTGTTAAACTTTAAAGAGTTTAAAGATAACGATTAGTTTTTTTGCACACTGTGGGGTGTTAGGGTGGCTTTCAGCTTTGCTGCTCAATGAGCGCTATTTTTAGCTCATGCTCCACAGTCGACGTTGGTGAAACAAACACCATGTAGCCCGGCAGGGAGGCATGTAAAGCCTGGTGACCCCTCAGCCTAATATTACACTCTGTACAAGAAGGACAGGTTATCTATTGTGTATATACACTGTATAATGTAATATGGTATTACATAATATTGTATATTATTATTTACTAACTGAGTAAATGGACACACGGGATACAGTTGATAAAAGATGCAGAAGAAATTAAACTCACAGAAAGTTGTCATTTTCAACTTTTCTCTCTAGAAACTCCCTCACCATAAGTTTTATTTTAACTCCTGATTTATGGTTGTCATATTTGAATTACATTTTGCATAGCTTTGATCTTTGATCAAGTTGTTATCTCAAATAATGCATTTGCTTATTAGCCTGTAAAGAAAGACTAGCCTAAAATAATTTGTCACTGTGTAAGTAGGGCTGGGCGGTATGATCTCAAATTTATATCACGATATAAATTGAATCTCTTCACAGTAACGGTATATATTGCGGTAGAAAACTGTCATAAAAAGTAAAGATAATGTAATTTTTAGAGCTTTTTTTTGCAGAAAACTATAATCTTAATCAAACCCAGCATTTTTGCTTTAATATCAACCTGCCATACAATGAGCTTCTGCCTGCTGAACTTATCAACTGCTGCTCTGCTGCGTGCTCATCTTCATCATCAGAGCAGAAGCCGACTTTACATTAACAAGATGGATTTATGACTGAATGAATGTCCACGTCTTTTTTTTAATCATCTCTGTGGATAACAATACATAAAAAACAATTTTTTTCTCCGATAACTTGGGTGTGAAAAAACTGTTATTAAAGCTTCGCTCTGTGCGACATGGAGGGAGGAAATGATCCCAATGTAACTTTTGTACAGCGGGAGGGGGAAATTTTGAGGATTTATTCTCTTTACGCATTTTAAAACGCTATAATTTCTTCGTTTTATTTATTTCGAACTCCTCCTGCTCAGTTGTGTCTGCACTCGCAGCCTGACACAGGTGCGATGACTTAATGACGATAGGATGGAAGAGGGTAAATTTCTACCATAAACCAACTTCAAACCGTTTCTACCGTCTACCGCGTATACCGCGCAGCCCTGTGCGTCAGCTTCCCACTCTGTAAATAGTTTTACAAACTTAGAACTGGACCTGAAAATTCTCTAAATTGATGTTGCTTTTGGAACAAGAATGAAATCCAAAACAGTGTCAGGTTCTTTGTAAGTTTTGTTCCGATTCTTTGATTGAACTATTTCTGACCTCCGGAAGGCCACAGAGTTCTTATGGGAACAAAACACAAGACAATATAACAAGATGGTAACAGTGAGAGAGGAGCTTTACTGAAAAGATGCCTCCAAAGGAATCTTTGCTTCACATCCGTTACAACCTCAGACCAGCTCTGCCTCATTATTCTTTATGGCGTACGAATGTGTCTTTACAAATCACAGGACAAGATTTGACTTTGTTGCTCGATGAGGCAAAGTAGCTCTCAAAAATCGTACCATACCCACAGTAATAATAAAAGCTACGTGTCTGTGTGATTTAAGGCTGTGAGAACGGCAGCGTCCTCTCTTCTGGAGACACCAGAGAGTCTTCTAGTCAGTCCACCAACGGTCATCACACTCTCCTGAAGGGGAAAGAAAGGTTTGACCTTTACTCTCTTCTCTCTTTCATTTTGCACATTATTTTGAAAGGTTTAATGAATAATTGACTGTTGGGCCTTTTTTTAGTGGCCCGCTGGATGAAAACGCACAGAATAGCCACCCCCTGTATGGAAACGGCATGTGTAAATGGCCTGGCTGTGAGACGGTTTTTGGAGACTTTCAGGCATTCCTCAAGTGAGTAATACAAAGCATTTGTGCCCCGTCACATCGACCCAAGGCCTTAGACATCAAGGTGAAGGGAAGTGAGATATGGGCAGCATTGTAGGCAAAAATGTGCAATAATTAGATTTTGTCAAAATATAATTTTTTGTATGGGTCTTCTGAAGGAAATGTCCAAGCTATAATCTTTGATAATTCTATTTTTCCTGCATTTGTTCTCAATAACAATTGGAAAACCCAATGTCCAAACATGGTTTGAGGTTTTCTCTTTCAAATGACATCAAGAAATCCTCATTAGAATAACTCAAAAAAAGGATTCAGATGGATTTTTCCTGTGGTTCTGATTAGCCATGTCTCTGGAAATGCTGATGATACCAGCAGTGTTCCCCTTACCATCCAAGGAGACCAACTAGAACCACCCGCCCTGCCATAAAGACCACGGCAAATAATAAATGGCAGTTCATTATCGCATAGTACCTCTTCTGTGTGGCACTGGAGACATCACAGACATTACATCACTCCATCATTCTGCACCGTGTCCCGACCTCCCAGTACTTTATCTAAAATGTCACAGCGTGTTTGAGTTACGCTCACGAGTAAACATGATGTTGAGCTGAAATTTTTCAAATATAGTCCTTTTGAGTGAAATACGGTCATTTTAAGGCAGAAATCTGATCTGTCCTGCAAATATACAAGGCAATTTTTAAATTATTTTGTGCTGTGCAATCAACGTGACTGAATGTGCTACAGTAGTTTTTTTTTTTAATATCACCCTTATAAATATACCAAAGTTATTTAAAGTTTGAACTTTTGGGAGTTTTATTACTCACTTTGCCTCGTGAACATTCACATATTAAAAACAAACAAAAAAGTTTTTTTGTTTCTATAACAAGAAGCTTTGAAAAGGTTCTGAGAAACCGTACAGGATTCACTGTAGTGAGAAAAGTTTGCAGACTTTCTAAAGAAATCCTCTGAGTTATAAAACTATTAAAACTGTTATTAAAAGCAAGTCACATTTTTGTTTCAAAATAAGTTGTATTTTTAGCTTTTAGGTTCCTTTTTATTGAGTGTTAAATGAATACCAAGTCATTGTGATTTTGTGATATGAAAGCATAAATGTGTTTTTGTTTTCTGCAACTCATTTCTGTTTTGTATTTGTGTATCTGCAGACATTTGAACAGTGATCATACACTTGATGACAAGAGTACAGCCCAGTGTCGTGTACAGATGCAAGTTGTTCAACAGCTGGAGCTACAGGTATACAATGTTTTTTAATCCATCTCAACCTTTTTTTATTTTATTTTTCTTTTTTTTTTAACTCCTACAAAAAAGGGACAACGAATTCGATTAGATTAGATAAACTTTATTGCCCCCAAGGGGCGGTTTGCTTTATGTCTGATGTCTGATTTATTAACAGCTTTAGCGTCACRGAGTTCCACGTGGAACCAAGTCTTTTTTAAAACCAGCAGCTTTCTCAAAGTAAATGGTGTAAATTTTCAGATTTCTAATGTGTTTTCACACTTGAAGTGGTGCCTTCTGATAATTACAACCCTGAAGATGTCACGCAGAACGTCACGTAACCAAAAAAAAAAAAAAAAAAAAAAAACAAAGAACCTGTGAATTCACCAACCTCACTTCTATTTTTGGTTCTCTACCACAGCTGAAGAAAGACAAAGAGCGTCTGCAAGCTATGATGGCCCACCTGAAGTCCTCAGAGCCCAAACCTGCAGCACAGCCTGTAAATACTCACTGTGACACTTCATCTTCATTTAAATATATATATAT